CACCCAATCCCCGGCAAGCAACACAAGCATCCCACCCAGCACTTTGTGTCCAAGTGAGCACCGATCGGGCTTTAAATCACATGCTCTCTTTTTGTTATTTACTCTGTTCTGTCTACAGATTTAGATTTAGTTTTTATTGAAGCTTTGGGCTTTTACATCTGTATCAGAAAACTTGTCATATGAGGTTTGGCTCCTTAATGTCAAATCATGTACTTTGGGATGAGCCTCCTGGCATATGAGCTCCAGTATGGAAAGATCCATGATGTTTGTTCATACTCCTCCCAAAAGATTACACAACTCTCCCAATACATGTTTTTTACCCTCCTCATGCGTGTTGGATATATATCAAATTGGTCTTCATCTTCTCTTTTTGTCTGGGCTTAGAAAAAATAAAAGGTACATACAGACCAGCTCTTTGTTCTCTGTGGGGGAAAATACAGTATGTCCCCTGCTCCGTCTGAACACTAAAGTCAACCTTTTTTCTTTTATTTTCTGTTCCATTAACACAACTTTTAGATCTGCCTCAATCTCTGTTATGATTTAACCACATGTTTGACCTGCAAGTGCTTGATTTGGAATATTAGTTTACAGCTTGACAGAGGGGAAGGTTGCTTGTTTCCTCACTGTGCAAATACCAAGCGTTCTTATCAATTAAAATCTCCCAGAACCTTTATCTCGGCACACAAGTAGCATTTTTTTCAAATGAACCGTGCTTATGCTAACAAAATGGTGGATCTTATCAGTGTGTGTTGTAAAATTTGTAACAGGGTCCTGTTGTAACAGGTTACGTGAAGGTCCACGCATACAGGCGGCCTCATTCCATGGGGGCACAGCTTTTTGCGAGGCCAGGTGTGCTGGAACTCCCTAGGTAAATATTGGAAAGGTGCGAGGAGAGATGTTTTGCATACCAGAGAGACGGATATGTGCAGCGGACGGCTGTCTCTCAAACTTTCTTAGAATTTTTCAACAATCGCTTGTGTTCGGACGCCCCGACGTTCCGTTTGAGAGGTCGGATCTAATCAGAACCAGCGGTGGGGGGTTCGCATTAGACCCAGTGGCTGTCCGCCTGACGGCCCAAGACAGCAGAGCGATGCTTAAGGAGGAAACGGGGTGGAATCCTCACTTTCATCTGTGAAAACAGAGCGGCCTGTGTTTTTGTTGAAATATTAGCCCTTCAACCCCACTCAAGAATGCGCACCTGTTCCATCCTGGATTTCTAACTTCTGTGCCTCAGACTGACAGAGGGTCTCTTCTGTTGCTCTGTGGATCCTCCTGTGACGGGCGGCCGTGTGGAGACGGTGTAGCTTTGAAAGATTTGTTTTCCTTGGAATACGGCTGACGGAGATCCCAAAAGAAAAGGATTGGTAACTGCATATTGTGTCCTGATTGACAGAGTTGTGACAACAAAGATCAGCTGTCAAAAGTCATGGAATTTAATTTGATTTGGCAAGCTGTGATTAAGTCATGGAATGTATTCCATCCTTTAAGCTAAATGCACAGCTTATAGTAAAAAGTCTATCATGCATTTTAAAGAGAAAAAAACATGTTAGTCTCATAAATAACATGAATTGTGCAACAGCTGTTTCAATTTTCCCCCCTGTGTTGGCAAGTCAACCTTGATTGTAGTAGACTGCCTGGCTTCGGTAGTCGTAAATCTTCTCTGGTGTATTCCTTTTCCTTATTTTTAGAAAGGACCTCAAGAACTCAGGAATGAAAAAAAAGTAGTTATGAATCATTTAAATGAGCTGACTTGGGAGCGACTTTTAAATTGCTAATGAGTTCAACTTCAAACCTGTGACATCGGAGGCCAAGGTAGTGGACTCCTTAATGACACAAACGCATGCAGGAAGTCAAAGTGGTTCACTTAAAAAAGAAGCTATATATAATGTTAAGGGATTATTTCAATTTCAAGACTGTGCAATTTCCCCTAACGAGCTGTGAAAACGGCATCCTCTCAGTCCAGGATATCACTTACCCAGGCACATACTGATTTAGCCCAAAATTATTATCATTCTCTTTGCCGTCTGTACTTACACCCGTGTAACGTATGATTTTTGCCCTGATTAGCGAACCAGTTTTTTTTTTTGCTCACTGTATATCTGTGCATCTGCTCGCTGCATAACCTTTAGCAGTGTGTGCTTTTGTGTGTGTTCGTGCGGTTGTGTGTGGCGACCGGCTGGGAACGGAGCGATGTCCTCCTTCCCTCGTAGGCAGTGCTGAGTCAGGCCAGGAGTGTATAATTACACGTGGGTGCCCATCAGCAGTCTCCCGGCCGTCTTCTGTGGCTCACCCCAGCAACACAAACCCGTCCTGGGCCGGGCTCTGCCTCCCAGGGGCCGCGGGCACTCCTTTATTATTAGCCTCTTAGTTGGTGGCTCTGTGGGTGGATCTGCGAGTAAGGGCAAACACATTTCTCGCCCTCTAATGTCGTCGCTCCTCTTTTGGTTTCCGGGGGTTGAAGTCGATGGTGCCTGCCAAACCCTGTGCGAGTCTTTTTTACTTGGCGAGATGAATAATGTAGTGGCGTCTTATTGTGGCCAGAGCTGTGTAAACTCCTGTGGCCACACGCTCAGCGGAGCGTATCCCCGCTCAATGAAAACGCCAAAGCGTGCTGAGCTGTTTTTAGGAGCGAAATAATAAAGGCAAAAAAATGTGCTCTCTGAGAGCTTCCGTGAATGGAGCGTTAAACAAAGATTAGTGCCGTTGCGTCTCCTCGGCGAGTTAAAATTAGTCTGCGTGAGCGCCGCCGCCGAATCACGAAGGCTGGGATGCAACAGGAAGACCGCCTCCCCAAAGTTTCCCTGCAGCTGCCGTCCCAGCTGCAGCCGATGGTCAGATGCTCATGGTCAGAACTTTCAAAGATCCACCACTTGCCTGTACATGAAATATCCACATGTAGAAGAGGGTGATCCAGATCTGGCTGCTTCCAACCAGTACCTGTTCTATCTTTTAACTGGTAACACAGCATAGTACTGTCCATATTTCCCCTTGATTCGGAGGCAAAGGTGCCCCCTGTATTAATGAACCACTAATCCTTTCGTTGAAATTTCACACTTGGACGAGCAAATCATTATAATGGAGAAGGCTGAGGGCTGCAGCAACAGATCAGTGTATGCAAGTATGTTGACTAAAGCTTATTAGTGCTGTTTCTGATTCCTCCATGCTGACTCATTAGCATGTCAATAGAGTAGAGCCACAGGCGGACGGGGGACATTTTCAAAGAGCTAGTTGGTAACAAGCATTTGGACTTTGTTCCAAGAGATATTTGCCAAATTAATGTGCTGTGAAATAATGCATTATTCATCAGGTGTGCTGAAGCTTCAGTGACGCTCGGTTAGCAGAGAACCGGGCAACCGTTCTGTCCAATTACCAGGCAGAGTATCTGGAGAACGTGCTGAAGCCTGGCCCTGCCATGGAAAGTTATGAAGTTTTAATGTTGCCCTATGAAGCCCTCAGATCTTATATCCAGTAGGCTGACATGCCCAGCAGACCCTGCTTCGCTTTCTGCCTGCAGGCAATGAAACCTTGCTGGTGATGTCTTCACCATGGCGGTTCTGGTGCTCCCCGAGAATCCTGGAGACTTTGGAAAGCTTTCGACAAAGAAGATTCCAGTCTTTACCAAACAAAATAGATCAAATTATGTCAGTGTTATATAATGCAAATACTCTCCCCATATGTTTTCTGATCGCTAGGACTAGGACTAAGTTGCCTCGGCACTTCAAAGAATGTTTTGCAAAGGGAATAGCACTGTTTTGTCCTAGGGGCTACTTTTGCTTTCTACAGGACTCCTGATGTTTTATAATGAGATGTTTTGAATCGGTACTGATGAATGAAAAGGGAACAAGAAACCTGAAAGTAACAATCACAATTTCAAAAAGTCAATTGCCCAATTGGCTTTGGATTCTTTCTAAAGCCCATGATTTTAAGCCCAAAACCCTGTTCAGTACTGATCATTATCTTCTTTTTCTTTTGATCCATCTGTCTTATAGTAGCATTACCAGGAAGCTTCAGCTCAAATTAAATTGTTCTCACATTCTCTTCCCCATTAAATACAGGAAAAAACTGCATTTGTTTTTATTTAATTTGTGTGCGTGTGGTTGTTGTTCAGCCTGCAGTTACTTATGGAAAATCTTGGCTGCTTCAAAAATGACTCATCACAAAAATTTCCAGCGATCGATTTCCTGAAAAGAGGATTTTCTACCGTAAGAAATAATTATTTCTCTGTAGACAACTTCTGGCTTGTCATGGAATTTCATTTAGCTGTA